GTAGGTAGGTAGGTAGGTAGGTAGGTAGGTAGGTAGGTAGATACATACATACATACATACATACATACATACATACATTGGAACAACAGAGAGAGAGGGAGTGCTTTTAAAACGTCTCAAACCTACTGGTACACTTCTCCCTCCCTAACCCATAGTTAACCAGGGCCGTTCCAAGACACCACCAGTAAAGAAAACTGGTTCAACCTGACTAATGGGGTGAGTCAAACTGATTGCTCCGAAGGGAAGTGTAACCCAATATGTTTCATCTTTAAGGACCCCATAGCAAAGACTGAGGACTATGGGCTGGGTATAGACAGGACCTATGGGACAAAATAAATGACACTACTGTGTCTTGGGATGCTCCTGATGGTTTCTTCTGGATTTGTGGGAAGTACGCTTATGCAAAGCTCCCAGCCACTTGGAATGGTGCTTGTGTATTAGGAATGTGAGAGGAAAAATGCGAGTAGCCTAAAATTTTGTTATAGATATATGTTGCTTAACCACATTTAATAATAAAAGCAAGGGCTAGCTTGGAGATGACCTGTGGGGCACTGACAGAAAATAATCCTTGCAAAACCAGAGCAAACTGTTAAATAAGCAGACTTGTTGATGGGAATACACGTGACAGGGACAAAGGGAACGGGAAAGTGTGGTGAAATTAGCTCTGAGGACATTATGACAATCCTAAGAGTCATGATTGTGGTTTGCAGTTTTAAAGGATAAAAAGGATTGCAATTTGGGGGTCTGCACCCACACGGGTTAGGCTGTCCAAGTGACGGCCTGCTCCTGTCGGTCCGCATTGCAATGTGTATCTCAGTAAGCACCTTGTTATTGATTGCACTTTACTTCCTTGCTGAACTAACTTTTAATAAAGCTCTTAAGAAGAACTTAGAACTTTGAGGTGACTTGTTTTATGGTGTGTCTGCCTCCTGTGTTTAATGTGGCTTTTTTTCCCTGACAGGAACTATTAAACCGAGCTTTTTTCTGATACCAGTCCAATAGGGAGAACAACTAAGGGTTCCGGTTTATGATGAAATAGGGCATAGAACAAAAAAAAATATTAAAATTGGTGACTGGAAGGATGATGAATCATCCGAGCGTATCATTTCCTACTATGGACCTGCCACTTGGGCAGAGGATGGGCCATGGGGATAGAGAACACCCATTTATATGCTTAATAGAATTATTAGACTGCAGGCTGTCCTAGAAATAATTACCAATGAAACAGCCATTGCACTTAATTTACTTGCTAAACAGAATACTCAGTTACGGACAGCCATCTATCAGAGTCACCTTGCCCTTGACTATCTGTTAGCCCAGGAAGGAGGTGTTTGTGGTAAATTCAACCTTTCTAACTGCTGCCTCCAAATTGATGACCAGGGGAAGGCAACTGAGGAGATTACCAACCGCATGAGAAAGATTGCCCATGTCCCTGTACAAACTTGGACTGGAGTCATGGACACTGGTTGGTTTTCAGGTATCTTTGGAAATTGGAAAAGAATTGCATTTCTTCTCCTCCTAGCCCTAGGAGGCCTCTTGTTCCTCCCTTATTCCTCTGATTCAAAGATTAGTCATCTCTACTATCTCAGGTATGACTGTAATTGCCTCCCCCGCCATACCATCAGACAAACCAGCTAGGGTTATGGTCCTCCGAACCATCCCAAAGGAGTACAGCCCTCTGGTAACAGGGTAACAGAAAGCATTCTGTCACAAAACTAAAGGGAGGAATGAAGGGGAGGAAGGGGGTGGGATTTTCTTAGCCTGCCTCTCGCTATCTCATCTCTGTATTTTTTTGCTTGCGCTAGGAAGAAACTGCCTGAAGGAGATGTACACAGAAGACCTTGAGGGGGGAGAGCGCAGGAAAAGGTCTTGAGGGTAAAGGGGGGACACTGGTTCAAACTGCCTTAAACTGCCTTATTAGTTGCAATCTATTGTCTTTGCAATGATATAAAAACTGGGTTTGAAATCT